GTGTTCCTGTGGAAGAACAGTGTTCTGCAGTAGGTGTGCATTAATTCTTCTTCTCAAACTCCAGGTGCACTTGCTGGATTTCCCCAATATTGTTATCAAAGGCTCTGAGCTGCAGCTGCCCTTCCAGGCCTGTCTGAAAGTGGAAAAGTTTGGTGATCTCATCCTGAAGGCTACCGAACCACAGATGGTTCTCTTCAATCTCTATGATGACTGGCTGAAAACCATCTCTTCCTACACGGTGAGGAAAGCATGTCTAGTCTGCGTTTCGCTTTGCCGCTGACACACGAAGCAAGAGCCAGGGCCTCAGAGATCCCTCCCCATTCTTTGCTCAGGAAGCCTTGCTCCTAGCACTTGCTCTGGGTCTGCCTTGGCTTTCCTTCAGATTGATTCCTCTTGCACTTCTCGTGCAATGTTGGTGTGCCCGAACAGAGGAGTACTAGGGCATGGTGTGTTTAGTTTTCCTTTTTCTGACTAGCTGCATCTTTCTTCCTCTCCAAGGCATTCTCACGTCTGATTCTGATTCTCCGGGCGCTACATGTGAATAATGATCGAGCCAAAGTTATTTTGAAACCAGACAAGACTACCATAACAGAGCCTCACCATATCTGGCCAACCCTGACAGATGAGGAGTGGATCAAGGTGGAGGTGCAGCTGAAAGATCTGATCCTTGCTGACTATGGCAAGAAGAACAAGTAAGTCACTGACCTGCCGCAAAAATCCTGTCAGCCTTTCCTTTGAGCTCTGAAGACTTTGATCAGTGCTTCTCACAGAGAGTGAAATGCTTTCAGGGATCTTTGGCAGTGAACTGTCAGCTTTGTATGGAATCTGGTTATTAGGTTAATCACTTTCCAGCAAGGCAGATAAAAAATACCTGCACCATACCTTTTCTAATCTGTGCATCATGTGATTTGGTCCTTCTTCTGCCTAAAATGCTGTGGTTTCATTTTTCCTGGTGCCCTGGGTGTGTTTCTGAGCTTGTGCCTTGGTGAGAAAGGTCCAGAACGTATTTTGAAATGCCTGATTTGGGTGAATTTTCTCTTTCAGTGTGAATGTTGCGTCCCTGACGCAGTCAGAGATCCGAGATATTATCCTGGGCATGGAGATCTCTGCCCCATCCCAGCAGAGACAGCAGATTGCAGAGATTGAGAAGCAAACCAAGGAACAGTCACAACTGACAGCCACACAGACCCGTACTGTTAACAAACATGGGGACGAAATAATCACCTCTACAACCAGCAACTATGAAACCCAGACTTTCTCCTCCAAGACCGAGTGGCGAGTCAGGTAGGAAGGCAGGCAGGGCTGCTACGCACTGGAAAAGATCAGAGGGCTCAGGAAGGAAGGAAGAGCGCACCCTCTAATAATTGTCTCCTCTTCACAGAGCAATTTCTGCTGCTAACCTCCACTTGAGAACAAACCACATCTATGTTTCATCGGACGATATAAAGGAAACAGGCTATACGTACATTCTTCCCAAGAACGTTTTGAAGAAATTCATCTGCATTTCAGATCTGCGGGCCCAGGTGAGTCTGTGCAATGAGTCTACTCCAGTTGCATTCCACACTGCTGGGACACATACCAGTCTGGAACAGTCAGCCCCGCAGGGACTAGGGGTGAAGGGCTGAGCGCTTGCTGCTGTCTGCGTGGAGCCTTTGTGCTGGAGACAGGCACCAGTGACAGGGCTCATCACACTTAAATTCTCACAGGCCCACGAAGGCTCCTTGTGGCCTGACTTGGGTGGAAACTGCCAGCACTGAGTAAAACTAGGGTGTTCTCCTCTAGTGAGGACCTGCTGGCTAACGGATAACTTGCTTCAGGAACTAAAAGTAAGGTGGGTGCCCGCTCCTCACACCATCCTATACAGGGAGGTCTCTTACGGCCTTGTAAAGCGTGAGTTTACGTTTCTAGATTGCAGGTTACCTATATGGAGTGAGCCCTCCTGATAATCCCCAAGTGAAGGAGATCCGGTGCATTGTGATGGTACCTCAGTGGGGAACACACCAGACCGTGCATCTCCCAGGACAGTTGCCGCAGCATGAGTATCTGAAGGTGAGTCCAGCTTCTGCTCCCAGTGAGGGTGGAAGATCACTGTCTCCAGTATCGGAGACCCAAGGTGATGGCGGGGTCTTGCCACCACGCTTGCAGCTCTAATGTGTTTGCCTTGGTAACCTGTCTCTTTAGAGCTCCCCTTGTTTTGCCATAGATGTTGGGCTTCAGGGACTCAGCCTGAAGTTTGCCTGACGTGGGATCAGATGAAAAAGAATCCTTTAGTCCCTGTGCGCTTTGTGCTTGAAGCAGTCTTGTGTTAAATGTCTTTCATTTCTCTCTAATACACTTTTTTTTTTTTCCCAGGAAATGGAACCTCTGGGATGGATTCACACCCAACCAAATGAGTCCCCCCAACTCTCGCCACAGGATGTCACCACCCATGCCAAAGTCATGGCTGACAACCCATCCTGGGATGGGGAGAAGACTATCATCATCACCTGCAGGTAAGAGGTGGCAAGGCTCTTGTGTGCCCCCTCTGCCAGTGCAGGGAGAAGCCCAGCTGCCAAGGGGGCCTGTGGGAGCTGCTCTGGAGAGCACATTGAAGGCTCAACTAAAACTCTGTGAGAAAGGGAGTGTCTGCTCATTTCTGACTTCCCTCCTCTGTCCTGGATTAACCTGATGTAGTCTTATCTCTCTGTTCTCCTTTCCTTCAGTTTTACACCGGGCTCCTGCACGCTGACAGCCTACAAACTGACTCCGAGCGGCTATGAGTGGGGCAGGCAGAACACAGACAAAGGGAACAACCCCAAGGGCTACCTACCCTCCCATTATGAGAGGGTGCAGATGCTGCTGTCGGATCGTTTCCTCGGCTTCTTCATGGTTCCAGCGCAAGGGTCCTGGAACTACAACTTCATGGGTGAGCTGGCTGCCCTGGGAGAGGGACAGGGAGGGAGGCAACAGACCCGCTCTGGCCATTGCTTGGGGAGGAGAAAGTAATAGCTGTTGAGGGCAGTGTCCCTTACCAAGTTTCTGAGGCTTGACTTACCTCTGAGTGACGAGGTAGGGCTAGTAACATTGCAAGCATGACCCTTCCTTAATATCAGCACTGAGATATTACAATGGGATGTTAGCTCTGAATGTTTTGGGCATCACAGAACAAACCCTTAGGCAGGGGAGAAATCAGATGTGAGACCTCCTGATGTTTCTGGATGGCAGTGTCTGATATATCGGCACTGAACGATGCCTGTGAGGCAGGAGAGATGGTAATGGGAGATGCAAGAGGGAAGCTGTGTCTAGTGGGGGAGTAACAGGAGGTCCTGGTACGAGTTTACAGGAGCTTGATGAATTGCAAAAACAGTTTGCCTAAAACCACCGCAGAAGTGCTGACAAACGCTTGCCTTACTGTACCAGAACAAGGCTATGGGACTGTTGTCCTGTCTGTAAACAGCCAGGGGTGGAGAGCCCTGGAACCCAAACCATGATGATTTTGTGGGTGTAAAATTGTTTCTTTCTGCATGCTCTCTGTAAAAATTATCTTAGGAAGGTAGAGGGTTCTACTGAGCACCTGATCAAGGGTGAAGGCAGAAGGGGCTTTTAGGTAGCCTATCGCGAGCGCTGGGCCGTGGCCGGATTGACGGTGGAGGTGCTGGGCTGAACGCGACTCTGCCTTCCAGGTGTGCGCCACGACCCCAACATGAAGTACGAGCTGCAGCTCGCCAATCCCAAGGAGTTCTACCACGAGGTCCATCGCCCCTCGCACTTCCTCAACTTCGCCCTGCTGCAGGAGGGCGAAGTCTACTCCGCCGACCGCGAGGACCTCTACGCCTAGCCCGCGCCGCCCCTCTTTCGTACTGTTGATATTCAACGGCGTCCCCGCGCCTACCCGTCCCCCTTTGTCCTTCCTCCGACCGCGGCTGCATCAATAAAATTTCTTTTTTTTTTTTTTTTAAAAAAACGCGAAGGCGAGAAGCGCCCGGGGGGGCG